GGAAGGGAGGATGGAAGGAAGGAGGGAGGGAGGGAGAGAGAAAGGAGGGAGGGAGGCAGAAAGGAAAAAAAGAAAAATAAAGAAAAGGAGGGAGCGAGGCATTAATGAAGGAAGGGAGGAAAGAAGGAAAGAGAAAGAGAAGGAAGGAAAAAGCAGGAGAAAGGAAGGAGGCAGAAAGGAAGAAGGAGAAGGGGAGGAAGGGAGGAAAGGAGGGAAGAGAAGGGAGGAAAAAGAGAGGGAGGCTGGCAGGATGGAAGGAAAGCAAGAAAGGCTGAAAGGGAGAGAGGGAGGGAAGGAAGGAAGGAAAAGGGGGAGGGAAGGGAGGAGGGAAGAAAGGAGGAGAAAGAGAAGGAAGGATCAATAGCGCCCCAGGGCTACAGTGACTGTCAGCATTTCTGTCACCTCGTCTTCCAAACTCCCAGGCGATGGTGCCGAACTCCGGCTGATCCTGGTGGGGAAAAGCGGTGGCGGGAAGAGCGCGACGGGCAACACCATCCTCGGCCGGAGGGCATTCAAGTCCATCTTGACAGCCAAGATCACCACCCTGAGGTGCCAAAGGGAGCAGGGCAGCTGGCAGGGCCTGTTTGACCATGACGACTACACAGAGGAGGTGCGGCGGGACATCCTGGCTTGCCTTCATCTCTCCTGGCCCGGCCCCCATGCCCTCATCTTGGTCACCCAGGTGGGACGCTTCACCGCCGAAGATGCCGTTGCGGCGCAATGCGTCCGGGATATCTTTGGGCCCGAGTCCACCAGGCACACCATCATCCTCTTTACCTGCGTGGAGGATTTGGGCGGGGACTCCCTGGAGGAGTACGTCCGAAACGCCGACAACTGGAATCTGCGCGACCTGATCCGGAGGTGCGAGAACCGCTTCTACGGGTTCAACAACAAGGCCGCGGGAGCCGAGCGGGAGAGGCAGGTGTCGGAGCTGATGGCAATGGTGCAGAGGACCGTTTTCCAGAATGGTGGGCAATACTATGTCAACAGGCTGTACCTGGAGCCCAACGTACGGGATGAGCACATCCGGGAGTTCATCGAGCAGAACGGCAAGTCATCCCAAAGCATCGTCAACATGCTCTTGCTCTGCACCCTTCCATTCTCGTTCATCTTTTATGTTGGCGGATGGGCGTTGTCCTGCCTGAAAAATGTCGTTGTCGTGGCGTTGTCCTACCTGAAAAAAGTCGTTGTCGTGGCGTTGTCCTGCCTGAAAAATGTCATTGTTGTGGCGTTTTCCTGCCTGAGAAGAGGACTTGTCGCTGCGTTCCGATACTTCTTCCCTTAAGCGTTCGAGTCCTGACTTCGTTTTGTCTCCAGGTCACGAAAACGACGTACAGCTAGTCCTCAAGCTACTATTCACGGTGGAGCCCCCAAATTTCTGTGCCTAGGGGAAGACCGTTGTGAGGGGCCACTTTGTCTCTCCCCCCGCCATTTTATGACCTTTCCTGTCACTGTCGTTCGCCGAATCACCGTCGGGGTCAAAACCGTTGTGAAGCAAAGCGGGCTTTCCCATTGACTTTGCTCATTGGAGGGTCGGAAAATCGGGGAAATCTCCTGAGCCCACCATAAATATAAGTCAGTGGCCGAGCGTCCGAATTTTGATCACGTCAGCGTGGGACTGCTGCAACGGTCTCAAGGATGGATGGTCCGAAGTCACTTTCTTCAGCGCCGTTGTAATTTTGAAACGGTCACTAAACGGTCGTCAATTGAAGACCCTCTGTAATTTTGATTTTCCTTTCTTTAACGCAGAAGTGAGTCACGTTGCCGAGATGTGGGAATGATGTTTTCTTTTCTTTTTTTTTGTACATTTTATTGGTTTTTAAAGACAAACAAAAACAAACAAAACATAAAAACATCCAACTTTCTTCCATAAATATACAAGCAGTGTGTCGGTTGGTTTACAAATTTTTTGTGCATCCATTTCATAGTCGCAATTACAGTTACATTGCATCATAACTCATATTCTCAATCAAAGATTAAATATCTTGCATCATTATTAATCATTTGACTATAATTCATACTTTGCGAGATACTTATAATTTACTTAGTTTATATCATAACAATTCATATAATCCTCCCAAATCTACCCTAGAAACATTTTATAGATATAATAATAAAAAAAAGAAATACATCTTGATATATTCATTATTTCCTAATATTCTACATATTCCATTATTATATTTTATTATCTAGCCATCCTGGATATCATGGACAGACTTGGCAAATTTACTTGTGCCATTGCTCTGCAGAAAAATAACTATTCAACAAACAGTTTGTCTTTACAGTAATGTGTAACTCTTGACCAAACTCTCACTCTGGTATATCCTGGCTAGCTAGACTGTGCACACTGCTGGGCCCATAACCAATGTTAGTGTTTGGAAACAAACCCCCGAGCAGAGTGCACAGCAGCAGTCAAGCCAGGCAGCCAAATGAGAGTGAGGCTGGGCCCAATAGTATACACACACTTGAGACAAAAACACTGTTTG